TAGATCTTGAGACTCATGATAGGATAATAAGTGAAAATGGCACGCCTCATGCCACTATGCACCGTGATAGGTCATCATGGTTAACCACTATTTGCTCGCCATACGTAATAAACCCACCAAGGGGTCACATCAGTTCATTGTAGAGTGGAGGGAGACCATTTTACCGACTGTGAGCCTTAGCATGGGTCACCATAGATTCTTCCCTGGGTTCATCGGTTAAGATCCCGGTTCGCCTAAGAACCCGCATTTCCATGCTCCTGAGCACCGGGATCTTAGGCGGAGACTACTGTACTTACAAAATCATAAATACATTCACCTGGTAACAGTGTCCAACCCCCTGATCTCCTTGGTCCTTGGTATACATCTGTGTTTCACTGTGTGCATTTTGTGGTTTAGACGAGATGTTCGGGGTAAAATCATCAATCTTGAAATGGTCTCCAGTAAGAGATGAGTCAAGATGGAAATCAGGCATCCCAATATCTACATCCTTATTTGTATTTGGAACATCTCCTGCAAGGTCTAAAGTGAGCTCATCCAGGGACACTGCAACATCAATCTCTTCCTCCATCTGTAATGGTAATTAAAATGAAAAATACAAATATTTTGATACAGAATATTTATCTGGAAAATTAAAAATTTTTTTTAAAGAAGCTGAAAAATCAATAACTCCCATTGGCAGTGAACATTTTTATATACTCGATGTAACTGAGAAGAGGCCTTTTTAGTCAGTTTTCAGTGGTGACAAAGAAGTCACACTCAGTGTTAATTAATAGTAAACTTTTTACATTGTAGCTTACGATCCTAAACTGTATGTGCAGTTCAAAAACACATGTTGTTAAAAATATTTTTTTTGATGCTGATAAAAAAAAAAGTATTGCCTGCAAACATAATGTCCCAGTTCTTCTTGATGCCACAGCAGCGGCCTTTAGATGAAGATAATTCATATGAACATCTCTACTTCTTATAATAGTGTTGTTACTTGGAACATAAAACAAAGAAATAACAATACTAACCTTCTGTCACATGCTACTATAACAGGAATTAGCCAAACCTGTTCCTCTACTCTGTGTTGTGATTCTTTCCGCAGCTTTGGGGCCCCGATGCGTTGGATTGGAATCTCACACTTCATGCACAACTGAACTGAGGCTCTAATTAGCCTTTTTCACAACCTATACTTTCAGCAGGCCTCCTCTGCCTTGATACAACTGTCTCCTCTAAAAATCCCACCAGTAGTAACTCAGACTTTTATCAACTTGCACACAATACAACTGAACACAGACTTACACTTTAGTCACTCTCACACTTTCAGCCAAACAATACAATAGGCTAGGCCTAACCCCCTGCCACAACCAAAAACAACCAAATACACCACAAATAGTAAAAGTATAGTACAGCCCTCCATGTCATTGTACACATAAGTGATCACAAACAGCCATTTCTTATTTCTATTCGACGTAACACCAACCCCACAGTAACCCAAACGATGGTGACTCCAGATTTGTGCGTTAGCTCTTGTTAATCAAGTTTGCACTCACTTCTAATACAATTTGAAAATTCCATTTCTTTGTCTTCGGTTGCTTTTGACTTTAAAAAATGTTCAAAAGTATCCATTACCAGACACTGTTTACAGGAATAATAATGATCCCAATATTCATCAGATGTGCTAGGGATTACCACTCTTGCACAACAATACCCACAAACCAAAATTATGAAGTCATAAAGTTTATTTTCACGTAGTCTTCTTTGACTTCACATTCTCTTTAGAAACACTTTCATAAGTAGGCCCTATAATAGAAAAATGTGGTCTGTTTGGTTGTTTAATTTGCAATCTGGCGCGTTGGTCAGTGGCACGGGGTTAGGCCTAGCCTATTGTATTGTTTGGCTGGAAGCGTGAGAGTGAGTAAAGTGTGAGTCTCAGTTCAGTTGTATTGTTTGGTGCAAGTGTATAAAAGCAGTCTGGATTACTACAAGTTAGACTTCAGAGGGGAGAGCTGTAGCAAGGCAGAGGAGGCCTGCTGAGAGTTCGGGTGGAGAAAAGGCTAGTTAGAGCCTCGGTTTATTTCTGTGTTGCATGTGAGATTCCAACGCATCGGGGCCCCATCACTGAGGAAAGGATCACCATCCGCAGACAAACAGGTTTGGCTAACCCCTGTTGTAAACAACAAAAAATTATGATTTTTACAAATTCAGAGGCAGAGAAATTGTGAAATTGTATAAGTGTAACACCCCTTGCAACACTGTATGAATTTAAAAGGTGGGACCTCTGAATTTAATGTCCATCTCTAATACAACCAACCCAAATGAGGAAATTCAAGTAAAATGCCTTTCCTAAGGACACAATGTCGGATTGAGTTTTAGCCTTGAACCCCCGAACCAGCAATCTCAAGATTATGAGTCCGATAGCCTTATCACTTGATTACAGCCACCACTTCTAATGGAAGGGGACAATCATGACCAGTTTCAGGATGAATCAGAAATCTGAAATGGTACTAAAGGCAGGGTTGGTGATTTTTATTTATTTTTTTATAAAAATCAAAAAAATCGATTTTTAAAAATTTAAATCAGTTTTTTTTTATTTAAATCGGATTTTTTTGATTTTTTTGTTTTTTGTTTAAATGTCGACACAGTTTGGGATTTTTGGTGGCTAAAAGTATGTTCTTTTAGTGCAAAATGCATTGTCTTTATTTTAACTAATGATCAATTTAAACAACTGCAATTTTAGAAAGCCTTAATCTGCTATCAGTGAATTATGGCTACAGACAAAAAATGAAGAAAATGTCAGTCTAAAAGGAAGGGGGGGGGTAATTATGCATAGATAAACTTGCATTTTGTTTCTATTACAGTGTGTGTGTGAGCACGCGCTTGTGTTTGTCTCAAAAGAAAAAGAAAATGCTAATTTCAATTATGAAAAAAAAGTGAATTGATACTGTATTATTTTACTACTTACAGTGACAGGGGGGGAAAGCAGACTTTTAAGCAATTTTAGTCTACTAAACCTTATATCTGTTTTATAAAACCCAGGAAAGGAATTCTGAATGTTTAAAGATGTAAAAACAGAAAACATTTTTTTAAAGAATTTTATTTTTAAAATCAAGTTGATTTAAATTTTTTTTTAATCAACTGATTTAAATCGACCCTATTTAAATCAACCCAACCCTGGTTTTCAATTATGAAAAAAAAGTAAATTGAGAACTGTATTATTTTATAGTGACAGGGGGGAAAGCAGACTTTTAAGCATGATTATATTAGTCTACTAAACCTTATATCCGTTTAAAATAAAACCAAGGAATGGAATTCTGAAAGTATAAATATGTAAAAACTGAATACATTTTTTTGAAAAGTGATTTAAATCACTGATTTTTATTTTTAAAATCAAATTGATTAAAATTTTAAAAAAATCAACTGATTTAAATCAACCCAGCTCTGGTTTCAATTATGGAAAAAAAAGTAAATTGAATACTGTATTATTTTACAGTGAAAGGGGGGAAATCAGACTTTTAAGCATGATTATATTAGTCTACTGAACCTTATATCTGTTTTATGAAACCAAGGAAAGGAATTCTGAATGTTGAAATGTGTAAAAACCGAATAAAAATTTATTTTTTTTAAAGTGATTTAAATCACTGATTTTTATTTTAAAAATCAAGTTGATTTAAATAAAAAAAATCAACTGATTTAAATCAACCTGATTTAAATCAACCCAACCCTGACTAAAGGAATTGCATATTATATGCAACACTCAAAGAAAAAAAAGATGATTCAAAAGGGAGCAACAAAAAATTGCAAGTAGCATTTTCTAGAAAGCAGTAGCCCATAAAACCACATGCCTTTGACTGAACATAAAATGTACTGATTCAGTCAAACCTTCTCAAACTGAAACTTACCTTTGTAGATTCAGTTATAAACATTCCTCCTCCCCCCTTTTCATGCAATAAATGGCTGTTAAAGGTAATATATATATATTACTACGGAGACTTGTTCAACATCATGTGGAAATGAAAACTGGCTTCTTTTTGGAATTATGCAAATGTTGTCAAAAACCAAAAAATTAATTTTCCTGTGTGCTCTTAAAAACAATCACAGTTTTGATTCCCAATATAATGTAACAAAAAAAGCCAACTCTCAAAGGAAGCGTTAAGTCTTGCCACCACATGTGTCACGACGTGATGGAATCAGGAAGTCATCAATTTTTGGGCATATATATGAGGTTATTGGTTTCATCTTAAAGCATGTTCATTCGCCTTCCTTTTGATGAAAAAATATCCATCTATGTTGCACAGAAGTCGAAATATTTGCGATTGAAGAAGGTCAAATTTACCTGGTTTCAGAGGTAAAATTAGCTAGAAAATGCCCACCAAAGTTTGGTAACTTTCATAACCTGAGAGCCCTTGGAAACAGAAAATTTACATTTTTTGGGCCTTTAATCTATGTTTTGCACTAAAATATACCAAACAAATGCGTTTATAAATGGACATAAATGGTGTTCAGCCAAAAAAAGAAAATTAGGAAAAAATTGCCCATCTGCCAAAAAATGCTGATTTCTTTGATTTAATTATTTGAACAAGCGCCCGTTTCACCATGATGCCTCACATATATACATAACATACATTCATATTTATCAGACTAGGTAAAAGTCAGAATATATGCCAAACTCAAATGCTATCGAAACCTTTCCTTGATCCTGTACATGCAGTAGGAGGCATGAGTATACATCCCAAACGGCTTGCTATGATCTCTTTATCATACTTTATGAACATAATATATATCAAGGCATATCATGATTCAGACTACATACACTACAGTGAGTTACATTAAAATCAGAAAAAGAGAACATGGGAAAGAGAAGTGTAAAAGGAATAGAGTGTGGCTACAAGAGGAATGAAGGATGGTACACAATATATGGTTACTGGTGGTCCATGACAGTTCAGACATGCTGCTCAACAATCATTCATACACCAAAAAATGGATGCAAGCCTAGCATTGTGCCTTGCCTTGTGCCTGGCCAGGGTGTATTTTTTAACATACATGCAGCAGTCACAAAATGATTTGTTTACAGTTGGCACAGGGTGTATATAGATCTAGTACGTCTTTTTTTTTTTCAAGAACGCAAAGGCGACAAACATCCTGTCTGTGGACTAGGGTATACTTTTGTCAGTTCTTTGCTCATAAAAATTTTTTCTTAAATTAGGGGGGGGGGGGGGGGGGGGGTAAACTGAAAGTAGGACTCACTTTTCAGTCTAAACAATGGAGCCTTGGTATAAATTATAGATTCACTTGGCCTACTACAATAATTTAAAAAGTAATAGCAATACTTATTGAACACTGAAATACGATATTGGGCAATTGTTTATTTTCTTGCGTTTAATTCACGCCCCGCCTAGATCTAGATGAAAATCTATGCATCCCCGACTGGATGCTCAAAACTTTACGCTGGAGTTAAGAATATTATGTAGCCTAAACCAAGGCAATTTCATCACTTGCTAACATGAGTTGGTTTTAGGCCCTCCGAACAGATTTTGATGGCCATTGAGTATAATATTCAAATGGATGCTCGTTACGTACAGAAGTCATCTCCCGGAATTAAACGCGAGAAAGTAAACAACTATACTCGATGATGTTGGCATAATTCCTACTAACATATTCTTCTTTCAGTTTTGCCTCTTTTATGATTTTATGATGATCAATGAGGAGATATTATACTTTAGCACGTTAAATTCTCAAAGTCTACTATAATCCCCGACAGACCTTCAAAACTTTGAACTGGGCCTAAAAATGCGCAAACTACCGTAATTTTGTCATGAACAGATCGTATAACAGTGGTTTTCGGTCTTCCATCATGATTTTGGAAGCCATTGAGTATA